CCAAACGTCCTGCACTGTGTTGGGCTGTAAGCACAACCCCCACCTGTGGACGTCGGGCCCTCATACCACCCTCATGGAGTCTGTTTCTGACCGTTTGAGCAGAAACATGCACATTTGTGCTGGAGGTCATTTTGCAGGGCTCTGGCAGTGCTCCTCCTGCTCCTCCTTGCACAAAGGCGGAGGTTAGCGGTCCTGCTGGGTTGTTGCCCTCCTACGGCCTCCTCCACGTCTCCTGATGTACTGGCCTGTCTCCTGGTAGCGCCTCCATGCTCTGGACACTACGCTGACAGACACAGCAAACCTTCTTGCCACAGCTTGCATTGATGTGCCATCCTGGATGAGCTGCATGACCTGAGCCACTTGTGTGGGTTGTAGACTCCGTCTCATGCTACCACTAGAGTGAAAGCACCGCCAGCATTCAAAAGAGACCAAAACATCAGCCAGGAAGCATAGGAACTGAGAAGTGGTCTGTGGTCACCACCTGCAGAACCACTCCTTTATTGGGGGTGTCTTGCTAATTGCCTATAATTTCCACCTGTTGTCTATTCCATTTGCACAACAGCATGTGAAATTGATTGTCAATCAGTGTTGCTTCCTAAGTGGACAGTTTGATTTCACAGGAGTGTGACTGACTTGGAGTTAGTGTAGAGGACTCCTGCTGGGCATGTTATACCTAAACCCCTATAGGATTAAAGCATGGATTACCGTTAACTGTGCCTTATAGGGCCAATATTGGTAACTATAGTAAATGTAGTTGAACACTACCATACATACCTCCCTGATTGGTTTAATAATATGCTTTATATTTACAGAATACATTTGCTAATGTGTTTCATGACGACAGTCTGGGTCTACCAGCTGTTTCTGTAAACTGGTAGATCATTTTGTTGATATATCCATGCAAAACTGAGCTTTTATTAAAGCCCCTAGGTGTAGGATTTTGAAAACCTCCTTTGGTGGCTCCTAGTTGTAATATAACAAAGGTGGCATCACAGAAAGCATCAGAACAATTAGACAGATGCAAGTATAGTCACATAAAAAACGCACATAGGGACTTTAAATTTCTGATATCAGCCTGTGTTGTCTACACGTACATACACAACATTTTATAGGGTAATTTAATGACAAGGAGCTGCATTAAACACTAAAGGACTGGAAATTGTTTCAGTGTCCCAGGATTTAACAGAATTCAAGGGAAAACACTGCAGACAATATCGCCAGCTTCATGTAAACATTACCTGCATCAGACTTTAAAAACTCATGTTCGTGTTACCTGGCAGGGAAGCGAGGGCTCTCTCGGCCGTCTGTCGCAGCGTTTCTCCTTCCTGCCACTGAGTCTGAGGCAGCAGCCACAGCTTCTCGCCGCCGACCTGCTGCTCGGCCAGAAGAACCAGCGAGTCGGCCAGGCAGCGCTCCAAAGAGGTCAAGTCCTTATCTACATCAGCTAAACAAGAGGCAGGGCCGTCAGCGGCTTCACAACGGCTTTGTCTCTCTGTGACTGTTGAGCGAAATTTACACAAACTTTGGAAATGTCACAGGGAAGAAAATGGAAATTGGGAGCACTGGAGCGAATAGATTTTGTGAAAAAAAACTGAAAGTAATACAAGTCTCTTTCCTCCCTGGTAATTTACTTTAAACCCAGGTGTATGAGACGCCTTCAGATTATCTCATTTTCTTTTCCATTCAGTTTTACTTGATTGATGATTGGACCAAGACTAAAAGCTGAATACTATATATCTGTTTCATCAGGCATTTTAAGTATATGTTCAAATAGTGTATATTCTGGTTTACTCCACTGGTCAAACATTTTGTCCATACTGACCTTTGACCCTTGGCGCTGGCTGGAAGCTCTTCAGCTTCTGCTCCCAGGAGTCTTCCAGGTCCTGAGCCAACATGATCTCCTGGTCGCCGCGGTCGTCCTCTTCGTCCGAGTCATAGTTGTCCGCCTGCTTACGACTCATTCTCTCAGCGTCCTCCAGCAGTCGCAGCTCGTGGTCCGACAGCAAGCTTTTCTCCAGCTCCATCTGAAAAGGAGTCAGAGCAGGTCTCCGTCTCAAGCTCCAGGATCCTTTGCAGACGTCTATTTACTGACCAGATCTGGAAACTGTTGCTGACTGTTATCTAGGGCTGAACGATTAATTGAATTTGCCATATTATCGCGATATGATAAAACGAGATTTTCTAATTGCAAAGGCTGCGATTACGTTCTGGTCACATGACACCCAGAATGTAAATCAAACCAAACTCACAAGTCCGAAAGAGGTCCAGTCTGTCCCGTTTTACAACCTGGTTACAGCCAGTGTGCTGCCTACAAGCGTCAGAGGCTACAGGGGGGGGTTACTGTATAACACCCTGTGGTGAACTTAGGTAGGCCAACCTGATGATATTATATCATATAAATTTAATGCCATGACTTGACTGAAATTATCTTTCTCACATAATGAAAATTTGATATTTCTTCTCCACCATTGCTCATAATAATAATTCATGCATCAACTAATTTCATCATAACACAGTCCTGACCCACAAGAAAGAACAGTGTATGTTTAATCTACCTAATATTGTGTTGGTCTCATTATACACAGACACTGCTTGTCCGTTTTCAATAGTACAGAAGGTAAAGAGCTTAAAAATGAATCGTTAGTCTACAGCTGATGTCACGTGACATGTCAGAGAGTCTGCAGCAGCAGAGGTGGTTGAGCGAGCTAGAGAGTGAATGACGAGAGGGCAAGGAGAACAAAGCAGGGAATAAGAGAAATAAAATGTTATTTTCTGACTGTTTTAATGCACATGGCCACACTTCCACACAAGCGTGCGGGAAGTAGCCATAATGCCAGACTTGAATGTGAATGCAGCCAAAGCGGACGCTCTGCCTGTGCGTGTAGCTCAGCCCCGCTCTCGGTCAAACAGACCTGCAGCTTTTTATACATCCGTAGCCTGCATTAGTGCCGATAAATAGTTTTTAAAATCATTATCGCGATATGAACATGCGCAATATGCACATCGCAAAACACTAATTATAGGTCCTTTTTAAATATATACATATGGGAATGGGATGGGACAGGAGTGAAAATTTACTCCTGTGTTAGCCTCTAACTCTCACACACACACACACACACACACACACACAGGCCAGCAGAGCAGAGAGGCCAAGACAGTGAAGTGAAACAGGTTAATAATCGATAAGTTGCCAACTATTAAATCAATCGCCTACTATTTGGATAATTCAATTAATTGGTTTAAGACATTTAAAAAATAAAATAAAATCTAAATATGTTCTGGTCTTCACTCCTGTGACAGTAAGCTGAATATTTTTGGGTTGTGGACAAAACAAGATATTTGAGGACGTCATCTTGGTATTTTGGGAAACACTGATCCACATTTTCCACATATTTTATATACCAAACAACTAATCGATTAATCGAGAAAACAATCGTTAGTTGCAGCCCTAATGCTGTCGATTTCAGAACGTGGCTGGTGTTTAAGGAAGAGCGGGGTACAGTCTGTCAGAAGTGACATCTTTCAGGTCAGTGTTTCCCATACATTGATTATTTGTGGCGCCCTGCCACAATACCAACGCTGACCGCCAGGATAAGCTGGATGGATGAAATTGTAGTCTTGTTCTAAACGATCAGGCTGACATGGGAACTGTATAGCTAACATACCCGATTCCATATTTGTTTATTTCATATCGTCAGAGCGAACAATGTTATCGCACACTGCAGATTTTACTTATACCGTGCAGGTCTAGATCAGCCAACTGCCCCGCACTTCTAGTGGGTCATAAGTGATGATTGAGATGTATGCGTCTATACATTGCTTCTTTGAAAAATCCTCCTACTCGTTGTGCCTTGGTGTTTTTTTTGTCTAGACTATGCAGTTTCACAGATTTCATGCCTTGGAAATGGCAGCATATCTTACACATTTATGGAGAGTGAGGAGTCCAACCACAGACTGGGTTCACAATGCAGAAATTAGAAGTTGTCATACTGACTATTACCATTACACCAGTTATTTCAAAATATGAATTGATTCTATGAACTGAACATCCTGTTAAAGAGATTACTTACAGTATGCTGAATTAAATAAATTTAAAAGGAAATCGGTTGTGATACTACACTGTGTGATCAATTAGACTTGATTATGGCTTTTGATGGTTTCTAACGCAATTCGTGCCTCTATAGTGCTCTCTAAATCCGTTTACCAAACGCACCTGCTGCATCATCTGTCTGAACTGCTGCTCTATCGGGCTGAGGTCCGCTGATATGACCGGAAGCCTTTGCAGACACACCGCTGCCATCAGAGTCCACGGAGAAGTCGCTCTTTCCGTTACACTTTTGGTCTGCAAAGTCGCTCGAGAAACAGAAGTGCTGGACAAATGACGAAACCCCGTGTTCCCGACCGCTGTCCTGCTAAAACCAGAAAGAAGCTGTAGGAGAGACCGACTCGCCATCCTTCTACAGGGCGCAGCCATCTTCTTCTGCTACATTCAATGTACAGGTCAAAAAAAAGAAAAATGTCGTCGTGACGCTGGCAACTACCATGCTGTTTTCTACTCACAGGCTGGACGTGGGATTTTCAACCACGTTCTTTCCTTAGTGATACCACAATGCAAGATAAAAACATTAACGCTAGTGCCCGGCGTGAAGTGTTGTATTTTCGTGAGGCAGCATGAGGCCGGTTACTTGAGGGCTTCAAGCGAGAGTTCACCATGATGGTTCCAAATTTACGAGGGTTCACCAAGTGCCTGAAGGCAACACCTTGCTACGTCTACCCACAATTCTGTGCAGAAAAACGAACGAACTATTCAGACAAAAGTGGGGGAGGTTGATATTAACATGCTTTTAAAAAAGAAAATATCACGCTGTACCTACTACAGAAATATATATTTAAATGTTTTTTAAAGGAATATTAATATTTTGCTATACATTTTACAAGTGACGATTCTATTTGTAATAGTGACAATAATGGGTATTTTTGCCCCCCCCTTAAAAAAATATAGACATTATTGGTCAGGTCTGGACTTGCAGCACCTTCAATGTCACGTTTGTTGTGTGTAAAGTAGCTAACTATCTGACAGCGAGTGTGTATATAAACATATAAAACATGTATAAATTAAATTGTATACTAGTTAGTTCTGTGAGTAACGTTTGTCGACAGCTGGTTGCCTCCCTAAATGCAAATGGAAGCTCTCTGTAAGTGTTTTATGGGTATGGTTTAGTAGCATCCTTGCTAGCTAACGGCTAACTTAACGTTAGTTCTGATAAAAAGTGAAGCCACACTGATTCATGACAGTGGTGCTAATAAATTGTTGTGTGCATAGATGTGGCAGCAGTGGGCTGCAGCGAGCGTTATGTACCAGTGCTATCAGACTTCAGGACACAGCAGCATCCACCACAGACTCTGGGAAGACCTCCAGAGACTTCAGGTCAGACATCGCCACAAATGTGCCTGTCCCGATCTTTTTCTAGTGTTTTCACTGCAGTGTAATGGTGATGAGATATTAACCACAGCTTTGTGTCCTTCAGCCATTTTCCTCCACTGCTTGGTCAGGACAGTTCACTGAGATGGGGTGGAAAGAAGTTTGAGGAGCTACCGATCGCGCACATTAAAGCCACATACAACAAGTAAGTGGAAAAGTCAAAAGGATTGTTTGTTAACATTTAAATAGTAAAGCTACACAGAAATAACAGTCGTTTGTTTTCCTCACTACATAATAACATTGTCATTTTGCTATATTGAACCCTTTTCCCATGAGGTTTTTATTTGTGAAGTTATCATTATAAGATTCCAAAAATTCACAAAGATAATTTTGTTACACAGATTATTTAGGTTCGGTTAGGTCAGTGGATCCAAAACAGGACAAGTGGAAAACTGTGGAGTGAAGATCAAACTGAAAAGACACCTTAACAGCAGGGATATTGACCTGTTAGATACAAGTGCAACTAAAAACATCGCGGACTGCTGCATTGCAATACCTGCTGGGAACAGACACCATCATTAATGTCATTAGTTCAACTGGTTTATCTGCTATGATGAGTCAAAACACCCCATTCATTCTGTCTGTAAAGAAAACAAACTCTAAAATGTTTGCACTCAGCAAACGTGCCTTTTTGCCTTGTCAGTGCCTCTTGGTGGACGGAGTAAATAACAAAATACATTTTCATTCCTCAGAAAAGGTCTAGAGTCCTAATTAGACTACGCATGGAAACATGTTTATAAATGTTTTTAAAGGTCACATCAGTCTTCTGTATGATAAAGATGTTCCATATGTAAAACTTTTTAGACACTGCTGCCACAGTGTTGTGCTTTTAAAAGAGACACGTGAATCCTCCTGTTGGAGAGCAGACTAACTTCTGTCACTTCAAGTAGAAACAGGTGCAAGTTATCAAATACAAAATAGTGAAATAAAATGTCTACCTTTTATTTATTTTTTGATTAATAGTTATTAAGCCCGCACTGATGAAATAAAAATAGTTTGATGGTTTAGTGGAGTCTAGTGGGTGTTGAGTTGTAGGTATATAATATATTCAGCCTAAATGAGCTCAGTGCAGATAAATCGGTATCTGTGTTTATTTGCCAATAAATGATTAGACAGAAGAGGTTTCATTTAGTCATGTTGTGAGTGTTGTCGTTGCATAGTTTGTCCACCAGAACGCATTCTGCAACTCCACTGTTGGCAACGCCAGTTTGGAACAAAACACAGCAATCACCTGTAATTTTGTTCAAAGTACTATTTATAACAAAAGTTGCTTTTTACACTGCATTATTTCATGTTATCTTGGTGAGGTCTCATAACTACATATAACGCATGTTAGGGATAATCTTTGTGTATTTCGGCCGATAAATCGGAACATCGGATTTTAAAATCCTCATATCAAAATCCGAATCGGTCTTAAAAATCCGCTCTTGCTTGGGCTCTAGTAGAAAGTGATTTGAAGGACCCTGAACCAGAAGAAGCTGGTGTAAGTAAAGCAGACCCCTACAGGGCAGATCAGCATTTTGCGGAGCTTTTCTTTAGCTATGCTACTTAATATCTGTTAAGTGATCCAGTCAAACCAGTTAGAGGGAACATATTTCTTACACAAAATACATAATTCTGACTGTTCAAAAATTGAACATGCCCATCAGCTGTGAGTCAGTAAACTGTCCTGTCCTGTCCTAGCACACACATCCAGCTGACAGACGGCACAGGACAGTCGATGGTCAGGACGTCCTGCGGAACAGAAGGCTTCAAGAATATCAAGAAGTCGACGCCCGTCGCTGCTCAGACTGCTGGCATCTCCGCAGCTGCGGTAAGTTCTCACATGTTTCTCTGACACTCGTTACTGTGAGGGATGGCAGGTTCAGTGTCTTGCTCAAGAGCACATGACTGTTGAGGATTTGTCTTTTAAGCACTAGGCCCCCCTGTTATTTAAGCAGGATTGGCATTTGTTTAAAATTAATGACTACTAGTGAAGACCACATCCTGGTTTTTAACAGCAGGTAATCTATGAATATTAGATGTTTGTTGTAAATAAGCTGTCCTCTAAGGACTATGACAGAGTGCAGCAGTTGGTGTTAAATGCTCATTTAGACTTTATATTAGCCTGATTTATGAAGACGGCTGGCTAATGGGGTTAAGGTGACACTAATTTGCAGTAAACACACAGGAGAAATGAAGTGTTTCATCATAGTGCTACCACCAGTCTTTTATCACATGGGGAGATTATTCTGACCCCTGATCTGCTGTTTTTAGATGTTGCAGAGTTGATAATGAAATCGTGGTAACTGCATTTAATAAGAGCGCCACCTCTTGTTTTGTAAGTGATTGAATGCCCAGATGGAAGATTACCAAAATCTCAAAAAAACAAGTTATGCTGGGAAAGTTATTCTATTCTACTGGGAATAAAGTCGGTCTGCATCTGTTGATTATTTTCGTTAGTCGCTTGGCCTAAAAAAAATGTCAGAAAGATAAAATGCTAATCAGAGGCCAGGGTGTTGTGTATGTACTGTACCACGAGTCCGAAAGATATTCAGTTTGTGATCAAACTCAACAATAAAAAAAAGCTGCAAATCCTCACAATTGTGAAGCTTGTTTTCATCCATTGACTAATCGTTTTAGCTCTACAGTCAGCACAGTCATTCTAAACATGTAGCTAGCTGGTAAATCATAGTGGGGGGGAAAAGCTGAGTTTCACTATATGTTGGCTACTGTGGCCAACATAAAAGTTGTTCCTGCCCTGTATATGAATTTTTAAAGTGTAACAACATTTTGGCCCCCTTTTATTAAAGGTGTTGTCTTAATAGTGTTCATACAGTGCAGTGAAGTTAAGTAACAAAATATTAAGTAACGTTGACAGATTTGGTTATTTATCACATCTTTTAACCTCCATGGTTTGAAATCTTGACAGATTTTAGCTACAGGAATAATTCTTATGTGTGGCTAGTTTGACCTTTAACTTCTGCATCATTCACTTCCCTTGATGCTGGAGTTGTACCAATTTAAACTTCTGTAGCTTTTCTGAACAGAGGAGTCGGACGAATGGTTGCACATGGAGACATTAATCACCTGTGGGTCTCTTACTCTGAACAGAAAGCCACAGCGAAGGGAGTGACATTTGTCCGTGTCGTGGTTAAAGGCATCGGTCCTGGACGTCTGGTGAGTAGAAGAAAACATGGAACTGTTAAGTACTTAACATATTGTAAGTCTTATTATTCAGCAATCAGAAGTCTTGACTTGAATTTAATTTGAATTGAAGAAAAGTGAATATGCACATCGCAGAAGAAATTCACATCGAAGAAAGTGCAACATGTTTTCCATCTTGTACTGCTGACCCTGTTCTGTGCGGCTCTAACAGTGGGAGTGCAGCTTAAATAAACCTAATCTTTTCATAATAAGGATAATTTAAGTCCATTTAACAAGCCACAGACATCTTCAGTTCCCATAAGCTTTGTTTATGAATGAATGTAATTTTCGCTGTTGTGCAGTCTGCGATCAAAGGCTTGACGATGGGAGGCCTGGAGGTCGTATCGATCACTGACAACACCCCCGTGCCGCACAACGGATGCCGCCCACGCAAAGCAAGAAGGACCTGATCTCCGAACCAGAATGCACTGCAACAGGAGGCGGCTATGGTGTTGTAAAATGCTAATAAAGTGTTTTGTCATTTAACTTTCCCAACTCTGAGCTGACCTTACATCATTAATTTGTGAAAATAATTGCAGATGGTGTTATTAATGAGCAGAGAACAGGTGTCTCTGCAGAGACTGTTGACACACGAATAAACCCTCAGACTCACTGCAGGCACTTTTGATGTTCATTAGTAGACTGTGTGCAGAAACAGACTGATGGCTCCATGTCGGAAGAGAAAACAGCACCACTGAGCCCACAGGAGTCAGGGCCACGCAGCACATGTGTGAACAAATGCATGAAGCAAAGTCAACCTTCTTATATGAACAAAGTTCTCTTTATATTTTACTTTAAGCACATTAGACAGTCAAACATCTGTTTAACATGATAGAAAGGCGTTATTGTAAAGCTCTAGAGAAAAAGCTGGCATTTACAGATCAGTCCGGTACAGGTGCTTTTAAAATGGAAACATTGTGTTTGAGCACTGAAGCAGACAACACTGCCACCTCACTGATTAGTGATCATTACAACAGATTTTTCCGAACCTCCGGACATGACATTTTTGCCATTCACTGTTTTGATGATATACGTTAGACATCATATTTAGCTATAACGCTCTCTGTTCCAAGTGCACACCGCATATATTTGGAGTTTTTGGTAAACTTTGAAATACAAGAAAACTCATTTTCCAAACACACAGTACCATAGAAAGTCTGTGGCCACAAAGAGTACGGGATGTGTTTCAGTCGCCTTCATACAGAATCCAGAGCTCAGTGATGATACAAGATGGGGACTTGATGAGCTCTGCCAAAAGTGCATTAAATGAAGGGCCACCATTATGAATTAAACATACATATAATTTTAGAAAGTCTAAAATGTGTTAGGTTCTTGTATAAATGAGGCGCCAAAAGTGTAGCAGAGTAGCACTGGTTTAGAGAAATGTTGGTATTACAGCACCAGGTCAGGTCACAGCACTGGAACTGAATGAATCCAGATCAGACTCTGATACAAAGCCTGGTAGTGATCCACTGCACTCTCACATGCAAAAGTTTACTTAATATTAAATTTAACTGGTGCCACTGAGAATCCCCTGCTCTGGAGATGAGAAGGAGTTTAAGAAACAAGAAAAAGGCCTTGTATTTAAACTGAGGATGTACTTAAAAAAAAAAAAAAAAAAAAAGACCAGTCTGTAGTTTTATAGCCGTAAAATTACAGGTTTAGACCAAGAGTTGGAGATTACCACAGCGTATTAGGGCCATTGTAGATAAATACAGAGATTAAAGTAAATGTACAAGAAAAAAAACCACATTCTCCACGTTTATAGTCGTCGTCGGACTGCAACAAAGATTTCTTCCCCCGTTTTTAATGCTTTTGGTCTTTGAACAGAAGAAAGTGTCTCATAATGCTGGTTGGTGAGAGTAGCTGATATGTGATGGCTGTCTCATTAACATCTACGTACCCTGTTTAACAGAGTACAAAGCCTTTTAACACCACAAGCACATCAGAATATTTTCCAAATGTTTTCTTTCAGTAGTGAAGACCACATCCTGGTTTTTCACAGCAGGTAATCTATGAATATTAGATGTTTGCTGTAAATAAGCTGTCCTCTAAGGACTGTGACAGAGTGCAGCAGTTGGTGTAAAATGCTCATTTAGATCGCGTGATCAGTGTCAACACAGTAGCTTGTGTTTCAGTCGCCTTCATACAGAATCCAGAGCTCAGTGATGATACAAGATGGGGACTTGATGAGCTCTGCCAAAAGTGCATTAAATGAAGGGCCACCATTATGAATTAAACATACATATAATTTTAGAAAGTCTAAAAATCTCAAATGTTTTCTTTCACTTTAATCTCCGAGAATTTCTGTGTTTTTTTCTTGCTATAACTAATCTCAGAAAATATATGTTTGTCTCAAAAAATTGTTTTTTTGGTTGGTCTTTTTTCTCTGAATATTACCTCCCCTCCCCTTTATTTTTTACCTACAAAGGCCTGGAAACGCCGTTGTAGAAGATTCACGGTAAATAAGCATTCTGTTAGTCAACTGATCATAACTCAAAAAAAGATTCTCTTAAACAACATTGTGAAACATGAATAACTGATGAAGCTGTTGTTTAGAGTTATTCGTTCTATTCAGAGGCCTGTGAATCACTGGGAGTTATTGTAGTGGCTTCCCGCAAGCGTCTGTCTCAATGTAGCATTTTCTACCCTCCCACTCACTTAAAGCTAGGATAGGTAAATATGTCAGAAGCATTTTTTGTTATATTTTTAAAAATTCAATCACTATTTGCCCAGTAGGATGTGACTGGCTAAAGAATAAAATAACTGCCACTCTTGTCTCAACATTGTACTTTACAACAACTTTGCTGCTATAGTTTCTCTGAGCAACGCAGTGAACCCGTACCGGCTCCAGGCCTGCTGGCTCTGTAGCCGCCCGCCCCTGACGTTTGAACTCTGAAGGGGGCCGAGAGACTAGAGGACCGAGTTATTTTAAAGATGTATACAGATGTGCTTGTAGTAACACATCAATCTGCTGTGGACACATGACATCTACATGTACAGAAGAATACAGGAAAGACAAGACAACTGATAGAGAGAAACAACTGCACCGAGTACAGATGATTCATGCGGCAGATATAACTTTAAACTGACTGACTAGAGAAAATGTGCAGTACTGAGATAGAGATTATATACACACTAGCTATACAAAAATACATTACTTTATTTCAAATCACAAAGAAGTCCTTTCTTTACACAAACCCCGTTAACTCCTGACCAGGAGGCAAAAGTAAAATCAATGAAAAGATATCGTGGACTCTTAACCAACATGTCTGGGATTACAGCTCAAAACGCAGCTTTCCCATTGTGCCTTCCCTCACCTATGGATCACCTAACATCGGCCACACATTCAGCAACACATCAATAAAGCTAGACTTGAGCATCGAAACAGCAACGCTGCTTCAAAATGACCACAAAAAATAAACAACTGATTGGATTATAACCGTAATTACATCGCCACAAGGTTGACTGACGGCAGAATAACAAGCAGAGCAGCTGAAAGTTGATGATAAAGACATTATCATGGGAAAAAAGCTCATCTTGCTTCACTTTGAGAGAGCCTGGGAAGCCGGTTCAACAGGACTGGAAGTGGAGTAATTGGCAGCACACAAAACAATAGTTTACTAATCATTATAAAGGCTTCCTGATTCTCTCCTCTGAATTTTTTCTGTCCTTTCGTCCCTCGACTGAGAAATGTATTTTCCTTCATTGTTGAGGAATAACGTAGTGGGGATGATAGTAGTGAACAGTTTAAAGTATCTGAATTAGGCCACATCACATCACTCATATTCTTTACAGCAAAAAATTTACAATTTGTAAAATGACAATAGAGTACAGAGAGAACTACACTGACTGTGACGGCATTTGCACATCAGCACCGAATGACATTTCTTTCAGACTTCCAAACAGCAGTGTTGAAACTTTATAGTGACTACTGGAGAAGATTGTCGGTCAAAATCCCTTCTGCATGGGTTAAAGTGAACAAAGTGAAAGAGTCCTCAACACATACTGTTGATGTTGCCTTGACCAAGGCACTTAACCGCAGACCGCTTCAGTAAACCAACCAATGAGACTGTGTGGACCGTGCAGAGTGTGAAGCAGGGCAGGGCTGAAGCAGACCTGCACCATTTGATGACACAGGAGCTCCGTATTTTATAAAGCTCAAGCGTTTAGTGCTTCTTAAATATTGCACTTTGACAGAGGAAGATGCAATATGGAAGTTAAATATTAGAGGAACAAGGAGTAATTGTCCATACGGCCCTCAGATTGGAAGCTAAAAAAGGGACAACAGGTTCAAGTCTAGTGCTAGAGTGGATTTGGTGAACTGAAGGAGTGTGACAGAACCCCTTCTGAGGCAAAGGAGAGGCCTTCCATTACTCCGTATCACTTCCCCTGGAGGTTGCTCAACTCAATGTCTTCCTTGCGGCGTTTTTGTTGGGTGAAGAGGGAGCTAAAGGGGTAAAGTTTGGCTTTGGCTGGGAAGCGCTGGCCAGCAATGTCCACCTCGTAGTCCCCACGGTTGATGAAGTCTGGGGTGATGGGTGTGGGCAGGCCCTCCGGGCCTGGTGGCGGAGATACAAAGCCGAGGCAGACGTGGCGCTCCAGAGTGTAGCTGTAGGCGCTGCTAGTGGTCGTCCCAGCTAGCTGACCATTACAGTAGATGGGCTCGCCCCACCATGGCCACAGGTCCAGCTCGGTGTCGTGGTCCTCTAGAACCAGCATGACGAACCGCCGAGACACACCATCCTGGCGCTGCTGCAGCAAGGCATCACGACCGAGGAAATTTGTGTCCTGTTGGAGGCATAGAGAGTAGAAAATAGAAGAAATAGGTGAAGGGGTGAGGAATGTGGGGAATTAGTCAAAATGACGATATAGTAAAGCAGAGGAGAAAGAAAAGGAGAAGGACAGAGCGCCGTTAGATGTTAAGGGATGTGGCCTTCAAACACTGCACAGCTCTGTTGGGAACAACAGGAAACACCTTCTCATTTTATACATTTTCTTGACAAGCTTCACGGTAAAGACATAGATTCAGCTGATGACTATTCATCTGAAAGCAGTTTCATCCTGTGAGGTCTATTCATTAATGCTGTGCTGACGTTATGTGGCTGTGCGCAGCAGACAGCACACCTGATGTTCCACTGTTTTCAAAATGAGAGCGATGGTAAACTTTAGCACTGCTGGTGTAAAGTGCCACCTGTTGTGCCTGCAGGTGCAGCTTGGTGACAGTTTTTCCTCTAAATCCCTGCAAAGACTATAACACATGTCAGCAAAGCAGCTGGCACAGCACCTTTTCTTCCAAATGCTTTAAAAGTAAACAAAAGTATAAAATTTAAGCAAGAGCTTCAAAAAGCTTTATAAACCAAGTTCGCAAAGTCAACATGTAATAATTACACACTGACTTTATACAATCCTCAAAACAAGAAAGCAGCAGTCAGAATCCACACTGGCTGATATCATACACTCTGATGTGGTTACACAGCTGAACCGGCAACAGACCTTGTCAAACTTAACCCTGAACTCTCGTCCACACTCCAGCGGGGTGGTGAAGGTGTCAAGGTCCTGACCCCAGAAGGCAAAGAATTTCTCTATGCGTAGGCTGCGCAGTGCGTAGTACCCCGCATTACGAATCCCATACTTCTGACCCACTGACATCACCTCGTTGTACACATGCAGGGCATACTGCGGAGAACAGAGGAAAACACTGACGTTAAACTTGATGTGTTGTACAGTATAAAGCTTAAAACTTAAAGCTGACTTTACAAACCATTCTGTGAAATGGTGAACAGATACATATTCTTTTGTGTGTGTGCAGATGTGAGCAAGTCGCACCTCTATAGGGATGTAGAGCATGAAACCTGGTTCCCCAGTGTGAGTCATACTCATCACTCTGATCCCATTGGCATAGCCAACACTCATCTCCTGTAAACACACATACATAGTCAATGTGGGATAATAAGCAGGTATAAACAGTTACTGTTACCAATACTTCCACTATTACAGGGGTTTTTCAAAGTCTGAGACTGTGGACCTCCCCTCAAACAAAGCATAGAAAAAGGCGCCCCCTTACCCCCCTTAGTTTACTTGGTTAGTTTCGCTCAAGTCCTCGATGCCTGAGGGATCATGATTAGGTAAAATAAAATAATAATAATAAAATAACTTCAGACTGCACCAAAAACATAAAAAGAGGTCTGTCCAAAGACATTTACTGTTTCTGACTCTGGGAAAGTGGGGAAGACAGTAAAATTCCCCAAAACTACTGTATCTCTGAACTATATCTTTAACCAAATCACACACATTTAAGATATTCTATGTGATCTCCTTTTGATAACTAATATTTTTTCACTGAGCCTCCCCTTGACCAGTCTGGAGGCCCGCCTCCCACTTTGAAAACTGCACTACTACACCCACAGGTGAAACCTAAAGTACTGCTGCAACTGTTTCAGCTACTCCGACAACTAATATTACCACTCTTCCTAGTGCTCTCACCACCTATTATTATTATTATTACTACTCTATTAATGTTAAAGTAACTAGCCTTCGTTTCCTACCTTACAGAACATGGATGGGAAGTGTTCAGGTGTCATGGAAACATAGGACAGCTCAGCCAGAACATCCATTGCACGAGGGCCAATCAGATTTAAAGCTGTGGGCAGAGGATCACAGTTATACACACATTAGAAAGACTTCTGATTAAATTAAGTTCAGCTCAGCTCCTTTCAAACTACAGGTTTCTCAGTTCACAAGTAATATTAATCCATAACTCATTAACAACAACCTGTTCAAAGCATGGCTACATGAGTGTTCTCTTGATACCCTGCCTAAAAATAGCAAAGGAGTTGTCAGAAAATATAGAGAATATAGTGTTGTGCGTTTGCTTGTTTTTTGCAAAACCTGAGCTTATTCTATTTGTAACTGTGTAGGAAATTAATAGGGAATGTGATTGGCAAAGGGCAAAAAAGCTGAAAAATATACTGAGACCCCCCCCACAGCCAGATCAAACTGGCGGTGGCTCTATTATACCATGGATGGTAAAGCAGGACCCATGACAATAACTTATTTGGTGGATGTGTTGCAGTGGGAATCAAATACAAGTGTCTAATACACTGCCCCATCGCAATCTCTCTATAATAATTATTATTTTGTATTAATTTTTACTAGACTTCAACCGCTAAATGTGCAACATGCAACATGAAATAATTGAGTCTATAACTAAATAATATAACTACTAACTTTCAAATTAGTTCAGTAGAAGTTAATAGATTATTTTTTATGAATAAGAGACAGCAGCAAAGGTCGCTGGTGGCCTAACCGTTAAAGAAACAGTTATATTCTTCAGGAAACTCAGATCAAACAGCTGATCAGTCTCTGTCTGTTGATAAACTGTAGGAAAATGTTTGACATTTCAACTCTGGTAGCAGGCCGGCGTGTGTGTGAGACCGCGCCAGTTTCACGGGATTGCGGGTTACACAGAAGCTGTTGCCATGGTTACCTCGCAGAGCGCTTGTTTGCCTGTCTGTTGATGAGGAGCACACAGCGACCACGCGGATCCAAGCCGTCTGAAAAGGCCTTATATAAACCCTGTGCCAAAACCTTTAACATAAGGGCGACTTAGAAAGCAACCATTCATACAGCAAAGTGTATATCGGCTATATGATTGATCAATCAACAACAAAGTCAAAGTAAACATTAGACATAGCCGATAACAAGCAATAATCAAAACATACCCAATTTATCCATGCTTATTGTCAACTCAGTGTTGGGCAAGTTACTCTGAAATAATATTACTTTATAGCATATACTCCTTAAAAAAGTATTAACTTATTACTGGGTGATATAACGAGTCCAAGCATCACTGGCAGCAGCTGCCGGAGTTTCTTTATGATTTTCACGTTGCTGTGTTGCTTTAGCTGATGTTATTATGAATTAGCCTAAGTATGAATGCAGAATTGTTTGCGGTTTAAATTTTTTTGCTGGTCAAAAAGACTAGAAAGGCGCTATACAAATACGGAGCATTTACATTTACATCACTGATGTGCGAGAGTGACTGTGGTACACACTGCGCAGGTGTGGAATGGGCAACTGAACGCAAACATACATCCTTGTTGGAAAGGAAGAAAACTTTACACACGTAAGCGTGTAAATGTCCTCAAATCCTCTCCATTTCGCTCGGCCAGCTCCTGTACCCACCCCCCTTTTTTTATTACAGATCTGCATGATTCACGTGGGTTAGATTTACAGGTCGGAAAATCTGGAAATCCGGAAAATAAATCACATCCCTGATTAATATCAGCTGATATGGAAATATTATATACTGTATACTGATATACTGTACAATGTCATGGTTAAGTATTGGGACAGAGACCCTCAGTAGTTTTTATCTTGTATAAAAAAATGGAATGTAGGCCTAGTGTTGCTCATATCTGAGACAGTTAAGGTAATTACATGACAAATATATCAGTTAGAAATTGGGCATTTAATTAACCACCCTCTTGGTCCCCTTAGTGTCTAATTTCGCCAACGCCAAACCCAAAATCAGGTCATATCAATAAGTGGGACAAGAGCAGAGAGTGGATTTGAGATACTGGTGCATTGCTTCCACCATTTAATACTGTGTGGGCACTAGAGTCACTGAAGGACCTCAATGGTAGTACTGTGTTTTTACCTGTGTACTTCCAGCTGACATCCTCTAGGTGGAGGTGTGGGTCATTGGGCATGTGTTTCTTTATCCAGGACCAACAGTGGACCTGCTGGTCTGTCGGAGAGATGATGAAGAAGCTGGAGGGGGGACAAAAATGTTTTTACATGGTTGTGGGCAACTGCATGTCTATAGAATTATTGCCAAGATGTTGCAAACCTGTTTTTGCTGAGGCGGACCACGCTGCAGTCGTTCTCATAGCCTCCCCTCTCATTCAGCATGCCGGTGTGGACGATGTGTCCGACTGGAACATCCAGGTCGTTAGCGCACAGATGTTGCAGCAGATCCAGTGCCTGGTCCTTTGTTGACTGGGACATCAGGACAGACCAGAAAGTTCAAATTAAATCACTTTAACACAGTGGATGTACTACCCATCATTACTCATTAGTCTGAAGTTTATTCGTTTAAAATGACAGAATGGAAAGAATTGCGTAATCAAAAACATTTTATGTTCTTGGACAGATGAAAATAACACATGACGACATCACTCAGTGGGTGTGACCAGATGAGCAATGTATATTTAATATTTCATTCATATTTATAAGTCTACTATAATCTACTATAAACCCTTACTGTCCATAGTGCATCAGGACTTACAGTCAGTTCAAACTTAGTGAAGGAGGACATGTCGATGACACAGACGGCCTCTTTGCAGCATTTAACTTCGGCTCCAACAATGTCAAACCAGTCCGGCTTGTAGAAAGTCTTACTCTGGTCCAGAGACAGCAGATCTACACACACATTCACAACCAGGCATGCTTTAGAGAAAATATAGGCCATCGTGTGCCATAAAGGATTGACAATATACAACTACACCAGGGGATTTCACTCCTTAAACTGCATTAGATTATAGGTTGAAACTCGCAATGCCCTAGCTTCCGCAAATAAATATGAAATAAAAACTAGTAATAAAAGTGTCTAGCACAACTTATCAGTGAAATTACCTGCTGCAGTCTTTGGTTGGAATAAAAGACAGCATACAAAAATTTAAATATCATGGAAAAGTTCATTGTGAGCACCGGAACCAGAGTGAGAGATTAAAGGTTCGGGAAACCTTTGTCGGTGTTTTGAGTTAATTAGCTGATTAGAGCTCTTCTCAGGTCGACATTTCTGTATTATAAATTCTTTATTCTAAAAATGTAATACATTTTGAGATACCGGAGTTTTGATTTTCATGAGCTGCAAGCTGTAATCCAATATATGAAAGTTTTACTTTTTGAATTAAATTATGGAAGAAAATGAACTTTTCCACTTTTTTCCTTTTTTTTGAGATGCACCTGTACTCTGAGTTCATCACAGGGCACATCCATCATTAACCATACTTAGTTTAAGGAATCAGTTTTAATAAAAGGGATTCTTGGTCATGTGACATCAGTGTTGTCAGGTCCACTGGGATTCCCTGATAATTACCTCACTTGAAAACCCTGTTCTTAATGAATTCTACAAAATCATTTGATTCTCGAGGCTTACCGAAGATGAAGAGAATGTAGGTGTTGTGTACCTTTCCCTGGAGGAACAAAGTATTTGGTCCTTTCAAAACCATGTTTCTCCATCCAGCGAGCTCCCTGGGTGTCCAGACGGTCATACAGAGGACTGGTCCGAAGCTGACGCCCCGTCTGAAAGTCCCAGCGAGGAACCTTTAGTTCGTACAGCAGGGCTGGACACAAACACACACAGACAAATTGGAAGCACAGACCTAATCTTACCAAAGCAAAACACTTGGCATCTCAGTGTGTGTAACTATTTTATTACCGTCACTACTGTATGCTGTCACAACACAAATGTAGGCTGTAGGTTAAAGCCAGGTTACATTTTTTCTAGTCCCATATTTACATTCAAAGAGTAATAACTCTTGAAATGTACATAATGGGCACGTGAGTATTGTTTTAAGACGCACCATGCCCCCTACTCACGCATGACTTCCATTACTCTGTGTCGCAGGAAGGTTCGGCTGCTCTGCAGGTTGCCAAAGCGTTTGATGTCCAGTGGCCAGACATTGGCAGTGGGGTAGCCATAGGTCATCCACTCTGCCAGGTACCTGGATACCAAACCACACAACATGCCATTTGTGCTTCATTGTAATGCAATCAAAATGCTGATCACAGAAAAGCTGAGGCTGAATTTTTTTCTGAATAAAATGTATTTCAGTTTGCCCTCCTTTATATTTAATACATACATATTATATTTATGTATTCATCTGTAGAATACATTGCAGTCTAGCAATCTAGCATCCTCTAGCAAACACACTTAAACCCATGCTTACTTGCCAGCTCCTCCAGCAAAGGCCAGGCCAGAGGAGTTCATCCCTGCCAGCACATAGTAGCCAGAGACACCCGGCGTCTCCCCCATCAGGCAGCGCATATCAGGGGTGAAGGACTCCGGACAGTTGACCAGCTGATGGATCTCGGCTGACTCTAGACTGGGCATTCTTCTCAGCAAGGCACAGAGCATTGGCTCTGGAGGTAAAAGACAGTAAGGTTGCTATATAATCTACATTAATAAATTCTCCAAAAGGAAGGTGGTCCACGATAATATCTACCATTTTCAAATGAGTAATGCTTTCACATATTTAACATGAACAAACTATACCAGCTGTCATGTCAGTCTTTGTTTTCTCAACATTAAAAGCCACATTTCCCATAAACCCCACAGCCTCCTGCCACAAAAATGAGGTTGCTACTTGTCTTCCTGTTCATCTGTATTTTCTTTCAAATTATTGAAAAACAAATGTAGCACACTCAAGTTGGCTCTAAGTGCATTTGCCCCACCACCATCTACTATTACGCAAGACTCCTACTGCACAGCAGGAACTGCACCCTTTTCCCGAAGTGGTGCCATAAACAGTCCAGCAGGTTTTCTGAAACATGAAGGCTGACCCAATGGCAGCTTGTAATGTGGCTGTACAACGTAAAAATGTTTTGCCAGTAGAAACTGAAACTGAAATACAACACACACAATCTGATTTGTGTTTTAAATCGCAAAGGCAAACAGAGACTTACTGGTTTTATTACTGGACCTTCCATTCATTCTTCAGTATTTCAAGTTGTATAGTAACAATACTTGACAGGAGGTGTCCAGGTGTTTACTCCAATATGTTTCAATCACATATATTCATGAGACACATTCTTTTTTTCCAAGTACTATTAACTAAATGTTAAGTAATTTGAAAAATAACTAATTACAACTGCAGAATGAACAGTGGCAGATTAGTGTTAGTTAACATGTCACGCTGCTTGAGGAATCTCCGATTACGAGCATAAGGCCAAGGCCAAAAGACAGGTGTGTGTGTGTGTGTGTGTGTGTGTGTGTGTGTGTACATGTGTGTAGAGATCACTTTGAACTAAAAACGGCTCACAGTTGAAGTCCATTTAGCAGCATGAAAAAAAACATTTCACCTGCACTACAAAATATACTTGAGCTGACACAGCGATTTCTTCTCTTCAACTAAGAAAGGACACTTCAAATAAAAAAAAAAGAATAATAAACTGATTATCATTACTTAAAGAAAATATACAAAATGCAATGGAAAGTAATTTGGGATCCTTGCATTACAAGCAGGCTGGACTACACACTAAACTTAAGTAAAAAATCCCAATATATAATTATAGATGAATAACTTTGCTCATACCAGGGGGAAAAAAAAAACATGTAAACTAGCATAAAAATAGAGATGTCAAGTCTTCCTGTCAAACAGGAAAATCATCTAAAAAGAACTAAAAACACTGTTTGTACTCTTTGGGAACTGCAAATGTTTGAGTAAATGACTTCACGTCTACCCTCACGTCAAGTAAAAAAGACACACATCTTGTGTCTATGCTCCATTATTAAAGTGAGTGGATGAACTGATGAGTCTGATTTAACTAATTAGTCTCTGTGCAGTGCAACGGCTGAATACAAGTTAAAAATGATGAGTCTACACAGAAGATTTCCAATTCCTTCAGATGGGCTGACATCAGAACCTGCCATTTAACATTAATTGATAATTTAAGATTTTTGTCTCCCATTAAATGCGGCTGTCAAAAAAAATGTGGCTGTGTGACTACTTATTTACATTTTACCAATTATGTTCATTTGTTCATTTAAAGTCATCTTCCTCTCTCCCATCTCAACCTCCCATCCCTCCATTACCAAAGTGGTCCCAGTCCTCCTGCATGTTCTGGATCTCCAGCTGGTTGCGGCCCTCAGTGAAGATGGGTTTGGGATTCTTCTCAAAGCCCCCTGACAGAAGGCCTCCCTGCCACTGCCGTGCATATAGCCTGCCATCCATATCGATCACCACTGGAGACGAGACACAGGCTCAGTTAAAATCCCCTCCCCTGGGCTTGTTTGTAGCCAACCTGCAACCTCAAGTAACTTAAATTTGCTAAAATAATAATAATCAAAATGTGGAGGTTCTTCTCTATTATAGACATCAGCTGGCAAAACTGTAAAAGTGATTTTAAATATATTAGCAACTGTGCCTGCTGCAAGAAAAAGGCAATTGTCCTGTGTGAGACCTGGTGTGCTGGGTGGAAGTGGCTCCTGAAGAGGTTTGGTGAGGAGGTAGAAGTGTTCACAGCCATGAAGAGGAACTGACACCTTCATCTCACTAGCCTGGCCCAACTCATAAGCCCACTAGTGCAGAGAAAGAAAGAACAAATATGTCTATCTGCTGCTCTGAACACAGATATATTGATTGCACCAATGTACCATATAAGATCAGCTATTTACAGTACAAGTTCAAACTCAAAACTTGGGTCTAATTGTCACCTCAGCCATTCCAATTAAACTGGCAACTGGCTTCCCTAACATCGTAAAGAAACAATAAACAACAGATTCCCTGTGGGAGACTGCAATCTGTCCTGTAAGTCCTCCCAATTTGTTTAGTCAGACTGTGTTTTTCTATTAGTATACACTGCATGTGAGATCAGATTAAGACTTGTGCTGAATAAGTGCACAAATAAAGAATACATTTCTAAATGCTTACAAAAGCGTTTTCCTTTCAATACTTCCCCAATCTAAGTTGCCAAAGGAACTCTTCAGTACTTTCCCAGTCTAAGTTGGCACTGGGACTTGTTGACGCTTCCCCATTTGTATCCCACAATCCCAGTTCGAGGTTTACCTGTCCTGCACAGTTGACAAAATATTCACACTCGATAGAGCCACGGTCAGTCTCCACCGCCATCACTTGACCCTTCTCTACCAGAACCTGCTGAACAGTGGTTCGCTCCAGTATCTGAACCCCTGGTGTAGGATGAGAAGGACAAGAGGCAAAAGGGGAGAAAAGGGAGGAGGATGGAAAGGGGGTTGCCAATGAAGAGGAGAAGAATCAGAGGGAGAAACAGTAAAATAATTTAAGAATTAAAGGTAGACTATAAGTGTTGCTTGTAAAACATTTATTTGTATTGTTATTTGTTATGATGGGTTAGGGTTAGACTCTTACCGTGTCCAGCAGCAGCCACAGCCAGGGCGTGGTTAACATCAGGCGGAGACACCACAGCGTCTGCAGGGAGGTGGAGTGCACCCACCAGGTCATGAATGTTAACAAGAGGGTGGAGTTTGGCCACATCTTTAGGCTTAATGATGTTACAGCTGATCCCAATGACCCTACGAATAGAGTGAATAATATAAAGATGAAGGCCAGTTACAAATACAGATGTTCTCCTTGAAAGGCACTGTATATCTAATCTGATTCCAGACCTTTGAATCATTTGAATATCTGAAAAAAATCGGAGATGCAGGCGGTGTAACAAATAATATCTTGAAAAAAAAAATTCAAACTTGACGGCTGTCATTATTTCACCTTTTGGAACATTCAGCTCAAGTGGATGAGAAAAATATGGGACCTGAGCGCAGGTGTGATTTTCTACCAGTCAATGAATAAAAGTAATCTGTCTTGTTGATATGTTTGAGCAAACCACCACCAAGCACAAAGTTTATGCCCTGGAGTGGCCATGTCAGAGGCAAGACCTCCATTAAATCAAGACGTTGTGGCTGGACAGAGCTTGAGCTGTTTTGCAAAGAAGTATGAGAAAAGGTTCTGTGTCTCCATGCGCAAAGCTGCCTCATCCAGCAAGCAGCAAGAGATGCTGACAAAGGTATCTCTCTCTACTAAATATTGACATAAGGTTTTGGGGTCTTACTTTAGTCGGGATGCCAGGCGCTTCAGAGAGAGGAAGCGATCCTGATTTTGGGCAAGACATAGAGAGCCTGTCTTCACATACCCTAAAACACATACACAAGCACACCAAATCACATATTATGTGAGTCGGCAGGTCTCAAACTACACACAGCTCCCCACTCAAATACAGATTGAAACCAAAATGACAATAAAACTCTGAATGGGAGATTATTATTTGAGCTTTCAAAAGCCCAAAACATCCAGGAAGTGTTATGGCGTGGCACATCAAATGATATGTTGGACGGAAATGGCTAGTAATGTATGGCACATGCAAATGTTCCAGCTAAAAATGACTGTACTGAAATACAATTCCATTAGTATGCAGTAATTGTTTGGTTAATTGTCTTAAAGGTGGATGCATTGCTCTACATATCCCCTATGGAGATAAAAGTACATGTAGTAGAAAAATAGATTAACAAATAGTTAAATACAAAGGAGAACAGGTGGTCATATACATCTGGAAAATGTTTATGATAATTTATTTACAGTAATGATACTAATATTAGTCATATAGTAAATCTTCACCTTTTGTCATCATTGTGATCTTTAACAGCATCAGGATAAGTTAAATACGAATGAAAGCAAAACAAGTCATGGCTGACCTGTTTTGACCCCGGTCTCCTCCTCCAGCTGCTGGTAAAGGCTATTGGAGTAGTTCGCCATTTTGCACTCAATGGAAATAGGCTTTGCCACGCTGACAATGCCAGCACACAGTCTGGTTGTTCCTGCGCCAAGTCTGCCAACGGGATAATAGGACAGGCAACGCAGCATGAGCAGAACAATATCCAATCCACAACTCTTTTTACTGATCCTCTTGCTTCCTAAGAAAGAAAGTGTCTTTACCCCTCCCCCCACTGGATGTCACAGGCTAGGGTTGGTGACAGAACAGAAACCACTGGCACTGGAGAAAGTGCAAAGGCAACTTTACAATTCCATATCTTCATACATCCCCACCAAATGAAATTACAGACATTTATCTTACCTGCCCTGCTCCAGCAGCACTATATCAGTCCAGCCCATTTTGGCTAGATGGTAGGCCACTGATGTTCCCACAATGCCTCCGCCACAGATCACCACACGGGCCTGGCTGGGCAATGGGAGCAGCTGGGAGTCTCCACCGACAGCCCTACAGTGGGGTGAAGTCCAGAGACCCCTGCCTGCCAATCTGTACCCCATCTGGGGATGCAGCAGTCTGGGGAGCAGGACAGGAGACAGAGCCCTGGAGCTCCGCACACAGCTGCACATAGCTGTGCTTTCTGCAACCACACACACAAAAACAAACAAACAGCTTCACATACTGAGGGGTGTAACGTTACTATATTTACGATAGCCAAGAATTCAGGGTCACTATAACGTAGGTTAAATTGTCAACACTGCAAATGTCCCGATCTATTTTCTATAAGGTTACACGAAGGGGCAATAACGTTACTGTTCTCAGTTGAATTGTTTTGGAAACTAAGAATGCTATCTGTCAAGTTGTTGTATTTAGCTCGACTAACAGTACATTAAACACAGTACTCAACATTTTGCAACGAAGCCGGGGCCTGGGAAGCCACCAAGGTTAACGTTAACTTACAACAGTCCTTCAGCTGTCACAATTACATTCCGGACTAGCTCTAACGTATCATCGCCGTAGTTATCAATTTAGCACCACAGCTAGCTTTAGCTAACAGGAACGTACGTACCTTTACAAATTATGCTGGAAGTTTATCTGAACCTTAGCTGACCTGTACATTCGTTAAGTGTAGTAACGGTATCTTGACATTTTGTGTTTTTTAAGCTCCTTTGGTTAAAGTTAGCCTTAGTAACAAGCGTACATAAGCTATCGAAAAGCTAGCTTATGTTGATTATTTACCCCAATAGCTAAACGTCAGCCGTGTGGACTAGCTTTCCCCCTAGCGCTTCTTTCATTGTTTATAACGACATAAAACTCACCGAATCAGCCAAGTCCAGACGTTGTGACTGAGTGAAATGACATGAAGTCTTATTTGGATACAGCCGGGGTATAGCAGCCAGACCCAATGTCAAACTAGCATCAACCACAACCGGCACTTCCGGTATAAATCTTCAGATATATTATAAATCTGAAATCAAATCAGTCTGTCTGTGTGAGCTGTCCTGTTCTGTCCTGTAAGCGTCATGTTGTAATGCAGCACCGTGTGATTAATAGACTGGCCTAGTTAAAATGTGAGAGCTGTCTAAGTTGACTAGCTTGATTAAACTTTAATAAGTTAATACGTTTGGGGAAGTTTAAAATAATAAATGATATGCTCATCATCACTCTCCAGCTCATTCTCAAATTGTTTCAGTGAGGAAAATAACCCCAACACTCACTACCTTTCATTTTTGTTTATATTTTTACATTAACTTGTTATGCAAATAAACGTGTGTCATAAGGTACATTTGTTAAACTGCGTCATTGTTGCCCCACAGTGTTGTGCTGTTGGCAAAGTTTAAAAGTTTGACCTTACAGAAATGCTTGCATCACATATTCTCTACCTGCTTGCACTGGATATTTTATTCATATTTTATAGCCAGTTTGCCAGTTTTCACCATGACATATATTTGGCATTTGTAAAAACATGAGGATCTCATTTACCAAGTACTTGTTCTTGCAACAAGGATCAAGCATAGAAAAAAATCCTTTTTTTTTTTTTTGAGCCCTACAAGTTAATAGCTATAGAAGCCAGACCAATCCACCAGAAACTCCCAAACACTTCTGGACAAGTATCTGAGGAGTTAAAGATATGAGATGTGAGAATAGGAAGAAGGGAATCCCACAAACTGTTACATATATACTGTAGATACACATAACGAATATTAAGGTAACAGCAATACTACTTGTCTTGCCTTATTCATTGGTTGATGAGCGCTACAGTAGATGGCTAACATTTGGATCTAGTCTTGGTCCTTGTTGCGAGACAGCAGTGAATAGACATGTTCTTGTTTTCCCAAATATAGTAAAGGTTTCACCCACTGGAAACGGGATTTTAAATAAGTCTCAAATAAGTGTTCAATTTGTTTGTCTTGCACAAGTTTGTCTGAGAGTATATTTTTCAGTTGGTCAGACTGAGCTTCATCTATCAAGCTACATATCAAACATTACTATAAAAGAAGAATTGACGTGTGGTTAACATTCTTCTAAATAACTTTCTGTACATGAGGAATAGCATGCAATACATTTGTATGTGCAACTGGGCATATATAGCACTGACCACTAAGTGGTGCCAGAAGCCCGCTGCCACTGGAGTTTGTGTCTGAAAGAGTCTTGAATGAAAACTCAAACCGGTACTCTGATAATGCGAGTTCCTCTGCTGGACTGCTGCCTCAATACTGTCAACTTCTGCTCCAAAGTGCAGGTTATCATGGAGTGAGTCTTCTACCCCCAGTGCACATACTAGACTGAAAGTGCTTCCACATATTGCAGGTGGATTTGACCTGGACACAATCTATATTTTATGTATTTTTCCTTATTCAAAATTTTTCAAAAAGTATCTCATCAAAGGGCCCAATGTTCTCTGCTACCTTGTAATTTAATGTTATTAGCTTAACTTTAAGCACCGTACACACACAGGCATGTTCTGGTTGCAGAAGAGGGAGGCAACAAGTACTAAAAGCACAATGTGTAAGATCTGGCCAGGATTTTAGTCTAACATTATCAACAGTATTCTGTTGCAGAGATATGTACTGAAGTTAACATGCTAATCTGCTTGCCCGGATCCGTCCTGTCTTCTAATACTACTTGTGACTGGAGAGACGATAATGAGTCACTATATAGTGTCCAGTCTGACCTCAGTCCAACATGAGAGGACAAAGAAGTAGAGCTTGTCAAGTTGGGCGCTGTGGCAACACGTCTGGCTAAGGGAGAATAAGTTAGGCAACTAAATTTCAGCCCCTACTGTGACAGAAACACAAAGATGGCAAAGAAGCAATATCAAACAAACCAAAACAGAAGTGAATATTGCCGCGGCTTTCCACTGCTGGAGACAGCTCTTGTTAACTAAAGAAATGTGGTTTCATGGTGAACTCGTTTCTTTTAGACTGGTAAGCAGTGTTGGGGTAGTTACTCAAAAAAGGTAATATATTACACATTTCTAGTTACTTTTTTTAAAAGTAATACTTTACTAGATTACTCACTGCTGAAAGTAACTACTTACACTTCTAGTTACATTTCTTTTGGATTACTGCGTAACATCACCTGCAATGCACAATAACTGTCAAATAACAGGTTACACCTCATATATGCCCAGATCAACACAAATCCTTATGTAATGACAACTCATAATCTCTCTTTTATGCTCTTTAATATTACAAAGCTGACAAACAAAGTTGTGAACATTCATTTGTCAAGAGAAGAACAAGCTATAGTACAGCACTATAACGTTAATGCTAAGAACTTTTATTTTTTAAATAAGGAACGACATTAATGCTCTATACATATATAATTTATGTTTGTATAGCACCTTTCTAGTCTTTTCGACCACTCAAAGAGCTTTCAACGTGCAGGTGGAGGAGGCAGGGATTGAACCGCCAACCTTCTGATTAACGGGTAACCTGCTGTACCGTCTGAGACACAGTCATGAACTGCGCGTTTAACAAACCAAACTAACACAACAAACTTAGTGGAGCTCACATGCCGAACTATGGCTTTAAAGTAGATTTTTCCCTCTTACTGGACATGCTTATCAAAGAAGTGGTTATACATCATGGGCAGGAGTCTCTCAAATCGTTTGTCAGACAACCTGTTCTTCCTCGGAGTCAGCACAAGACTGGGGTAAGGCCAGAGATGGGGACTCGAGTTAGAGACTCGGACTCGAGTGCGACTTCAGTCTCACACACAGTGACTTCAGACTCGAATTGAGACTCGTCCTCAAAAGACTTCAGACTGGACTCGGACTCGAGGTGCGGGACTCGTGAACAATGTTTATTTTTAGGAAACGTCTGATGAGCTTGCTGTTATTCCCTCCCTCCGTTACCTATAACCTGCATATGTATCACGTAGAATCTGCTGCGCGCGGCCGCACGTGAGAGAGGACAACAAACTCCGGACTGTGCCATTCATCATAAACTTTAGCTTTAAAACAAGACCCAAACAAAGACGCGCTGAACGCAAATAGATTAGTAACCTGTGGTGAGCAAACATGTTTAGCTCAGCATTGGCCCTCTAACGTTAGCTTGCTTCTTGCTTCAGCTACGGACAATGAGAGGTTAGGTCTGACTGTCGTTCGTTATGAAAAGATGAATGAGCGTTTGTTTACTTGCCAAACTTGTGGTTGTCCATTAACTTAATCATTACGTCCCGCTGGCTGCCATCACGTTAATTATTGCCGTTGGCTAGAAAGAGGTTACAGGTTTATTGTTTATCATGTACAGTTTTATTTAGTTATAATGTTACACTGGTTTGAGAGTCTAGTGGATTGTTGACTTACAGTAGTTTAAGCTGTCAGTGATTGCATTGCGCATTATGGTTGTGCTCTAAAAACAGGTTACAGTTTATTGATTTGAGAGTCAGGAGGATGTGTTGACTTACAGTAGTTTATAAGCTGTCATTAACTCTGTAAGTTAAAAACAGGTTACAGCTTTATTGTTGATTATGCAACGTCACAGTTTTATTTAGTTAACCTTAATCTGGGTTTAAGAGTCTGGGGAGTGTGTTGATTTACAGTATTTAATAAGCTGTTAATAATTGCATAGCACATTACATGGTTGTGAAAAACAGGTTACAGTTACAGAATTCCTTATAGCCATGCAGTTTTATTAGCAACCTGGATTGAACGCAGCAGGTGATACAGCATTCGTAATAACCACAAGAGACTTGAGACTTGACTTGGACTCTAGCTCAAAGACTTGTGAGCATCTCTGGGTAAGGTTATCCTTTCGCGAAACTAATACAAGACCTCCACCCCTCGAAAGACATCTTTAGCAGCTCTGCCATTTCTGCGTCTTCATGAACTGGCGCTAAAGTCAGCAGTGTCACGCAAACATGCACGAAAAGGGAAGTTTGATTTATTTTTCTCTCCTCCCGTTGTGCGGACCAGTATGCAAGTAACGCGACAATTTTTTTATTAGTAATGTGATTACTGAAGTTATCAACAGTAATGCATTACATTACTGCGTTACAGACAAAAGTAATCTGATTACAGTAACGCATTACTTTGTGACGCGTTACCCCCTACACTGCTGCTAAATAATATAACTTTGGTTATTTAGTGAAACGTATCTTTAGTGCAACTAATAATGACACT